TCTCATGCACCATACTGTGTCCAAAGCTTTTGATTACTGGTATCCTTTAAGTGATCAAATCCTTTATATAATAAAGCTATATGGTTTGGGAAATAATTAATGTTACAATTAATGCCACAACACCCTTTATTATTAAAATAAAAAATAAAAAATAAAAAATAAATAAAAAAAAGCACAACATTTAAAAAATAAAATAACTATATATTATATAATCATATAAAAAAATACTTTTGAAAAATAAAATAGCTATATATTATATAATCATATAAAAAATGTGTTCAATTAGAGTTTAAATTTACACATACAAAATTTGAAATTTGCTTTCCAAATGTAATTATCTTAGTTATTATTTGTATTGTGAAAATTATAATATAGATGAAATACAATTAAGAATAAATCAATGTAATTATGTAAATTATCTCTATAAGTTTATTTGAATATGCACATAATTAGAGATTATATTAACCATACAAAATTATAATTTTAATTTTAATTGTAATTTTGTATTCTATAAAAATAATAAATACTTGACCAATGGAAGCTCAAAAATATTATTATATTAAATAATTTAAAATATTTTAGTTTTTCTATTTTTTATTTATATTTATAATAACATAATTTTTTTCCGTGCATCGCGCGGGTGAATTACTAGTATAAAATATAACACAGTAAACAATAATTTATTACTTGCAAGAGGGACTGGATATAATGAAACAGAGAGTTCATCTTGTGCCTTCTGCATCATAGTTGACTGAACTTCAAGAAAAGAGTGGGCTACAGGATTCTTTTGCTGAATGTATACTGCTGCAATAGTCAATGTTTTCCAAAAAAAAAAAAGGAAGAAAAAAGTTAAGCTTAATTTCTAACATAAAAGTTGAGATGCCTGATTTTGTTATATGGAGTAAATAATAGAATGACTAAAAAAAACCTGATTCAGCATCTTCATATTCTGAGGCCACGGCACTGTTCAGGCTAGTTGTATCTTCACTTTCCTGGTAACCAGGAATTGCTATTTGAGATTCTTTGACATGGTTAAAATTTACCCTGTTACCCTGCAAAATGTAAAATTTTATAACATTCATAATAAGTTCCATTCCTTACAGAGCATAAAGGGAAACAAGTACAACTATCTAACACTATGCTTCATTCTGTGTTCATGGATCTCAAATCACTAATGCTAGATTCTCAACCATTATGATTCTAAGGAAATCTTGTCCCCATGCTGATGCACAGAAGTAAATAAGGAAATCACTTCAACAAACTGATTAATGATTTGAATTCTTTTTGTAAGTAAAATTGCTTAAGAGGAAAAACTAAAAACAACAGAACAGAAATGCCATTTTATTGAAAAGAAACAAATGAAGAAGCAAAAGGATTGAAGCATATTACCTTTACTTCCCGGTAATGAACCAGAACAATGTGTGACATCTCCCTGCAAAATATGATCAGATGTGCAAGGGGAAAAAATATAAGAACATTGAAACAGAAGCCCTTAAGAATCTGAAATAGAGAATGCATAATTGACCATAACTTTGAACTCAATATCTGCTAATTAAAATTGTATACCAAAAAATAATAATAATAATAATAATAATAATTTAAAAGAAAACAACAACAACAACAACAACTAAAAACCTTGGAAAACACAGAAACTATTAATAGCCTGCTTTTATTAAGGCTTTATTGTGAAACACAGGAATTTTCATGAACAAAAGTACTACTCCTTCAACCACAGGTTTTTCCCATTTTGCTTCCTGAGGTTCAACTCAACTTTTACTAATTTCTAGACTGCGCTCTTCAATATCTTGGGGCTTCAATTTTTAGTCAAGTAGTATTTTCTATGTATTTTCATATCTGTGCTGAATATATCATTATCAAACTTAAGTTGACATTTGGTCAGTTTACTAAGAAACCGTTTATGGGACATATAAAGTGAGACAGGGAGGTGGGTGCTTGCATAATTTTGTATTGAAAGAGAGAAGAGAGCAAGTTCAAAAACAGACTGAAATTTGAATTGCTTCATAGATGAAGCCACCTGGAGTGCAAAAGCAGGACCATAAATCCTCTTAGAAATTATTAAGTCACATTTGAATTGTTTTTAGCATAATGGAACCATGCAGAAAATTACTCAATCACAGGGGTCAGGCAGAGTAGCTACACACTAGTCTCTATAGTGCCTAGAGTAGAAAAGTACTGAAGCAATAAATTTGAAATTTGAAGCATAGCATAGATCAAAGTTTTCAACAACCACTAGGAAACTTTTTTAACTCACTCTTCAAGCATCCAGTAGCTACGCCTTTGAAAATTTTCATTCTCTTCTCCATGAGCATAATAGCAATGCAGCACATCAATGCTTCCAGCCTGGAAGGATACTTATTTATAGATCGAAATAATTTGGATGGAAATACTGAATTTCATAAATAAGATGTTTCCATCATAAGGGATTCCTGGCAATCAGAAAAAGAAGGACCATTCAGTTTTACCTTGAGCCTTTCATGAGCCTCCTTAACAGTCTTCCCATCCTTTTTCTTCCGCCACTTGTGCCCATCTTTTCGAAAATAACGTAACACCTTCCGGTCAAAAAGAAACAGTGAACCATCTGTATGTAAAATAATGTTAGACCAAACGTTAATAAAATCACTGAAGAAGTGAAGATGACTCAAATGCCATGTCGATGAGCTTTGAACTCAAACTCTTCTGTTGCATTTGAATACTGAGAAAATGGAAGTAGTTGAGAAATGTACAAATGAGCACAACAATACTTGAAATGAAAAATGCAACTTTAAAAGCCATGAGTTGACAGAAAATGATGCATTGAGCTATTTATAAATGATCCAAAATCAAACTGAATAAATGACGACAAATAATCAATTCAAACTCAGGACCTTAAAGCAGTTCAAAGTATTATCAAATATCAACATCAGTATTTTTACCATATATACTACTCTGTATATATAATATAATAATCCATGATTTGTTTAGAAAGTATTAATGCACGACCTAATAAGATCTATAAAAGAAATAAATGACAACCAAGATTTAATACCAACTGTCAAGGGAATTTCACTAATTTATTGAAAACTCTACACTGAACGGGGATGAAGGAAATTTTTTAACATTGGGAACCATGGTCCCCTCAAGGGACATTGACTCTGCCCCTGTCCAAAGGATACATGGAATAGTGTCTTTCCAAGCTATTTTTTAACTTTATGCATCAAAGTTAAAGAGACCAACCAGTTGTGACAGTTTTGGTTGCATTTAAAAATAAAAAAGGCAAGTAATGATTAGCTAGCAAACATGCTGCATTTTCAATAACTTGAATGTCACATAGTGCAAATGCCCTAAGAAATTGTTTACTAGATCAACACTTGCTTATTAAAAGTAAGACACACTTGTTTACATTCCATAACTTCATGTTCAGTAGTGAACTAAATATAGCTACAAGATCATACTCGGTGGCGTGTTTGGAGGCTCAGGAGCAATCTGAAACTTCTGGTAATTTTTAAGTATTTCACAAATTTCAGCTGGGCGAAGCCATCTGTGTTGTGCTTCTAAGAGTATCTGATCAATATCTGCATCCAATACAAACTTCATTAACATATTTGGAAAAGGAAAATTTCTGGATGCATATTCCTTTTACAGCTCCTGCATACATGTTTAAAGTCTGAAACCACTGAACACTGGAGTAAAATTACAAAAGCATTTCACAGTGGCTTTGATAAAAGGTAAAAGAGAAACAAATCTAGTCAGCAGCTCTGTACTACTTTTTTTTTTTTTTTTTTTTTAAGATTATTTTCCAGTCATTTGTCAGGACTTTAACAGTAACGGGATGTTTCACCACATTTTATACATCACTGGTTCACTTTGTTTTATTTGATTTTATTCCTCTTTGCAAGTCAGTCAGTGAGTCACATCCTACGACATAAAACTGCAAACAAAGGATATTAATGAAGTGTTGCAGTAGCCTTGAACTAACACGAACGCTATTCATTACCACCTCTATGAATATCTTCCTTTCTCTGATAAGCTCATTTGAGAGTAAACTATTTACCTAATTCCATTAAATAACAAAACAAACCAAAAATTAAATACAATCTCCATTCTCTACTAACTGAATCATTGCTTTTCGTAGAAAAAGCTATAATGACCACAATAAAAACTATTTATCATCGGAGAAATCAGTATTCACTATTCAGACCAAAATAGAGGCCATTCTCTAGTCCAGATATCTAAGGAAAAAAAAAAATCCACGAGCTCGAAGAACGCACCTAATTGAGCATTAAGGCCATAACGTCGACTCTCCGTCGCCATGAAAGCAGCTCTGGATTGTTCAAAAAGCTCCGTATATCTCAATAAGCATCAGGCCGAACTTACCAAATCGAAGCGTTTATTAAGTGAAAAAGGTGCAGTCATGAAAGCTTACTACGGAGCCATAAAAGGTAAAACTTCTCGGGGGACAAACGAGAAAAAGACAAGAGAGAGGGGATTATATGAGGAAAAATGAAAGCGGAGAAGAGAAGGGAAGCAACGGAGGAAGGTGGTTTCCGGTGGTGGGGGAGAGTGAGGGGGCCGCCGATATGGAATACAGTGATGGTTGGTATGGCCGTGTGGGGCCCTGGTAATACTCGGGTCAAACTACGTTTGTGCTTTATTGCATGCTTTAAGCAGTTTTGGCGCGTTCAACGGATATTTAATAGTTTATTACTGAGTAAAAGCAAGTCTAAATGTCAATGTGCAATAGATTTTTATGGAGTATTTTGGTAAACCTAAATGGTTAGTGAGGTAAGGAATAAGGGTCACAAATGTCAAATAGATAGTTGAGTTATTTGTGAAATAGTAGTTACCAAATTATAGAATGTTTTAATTCTACCTCTAAATTTGTAAAATTTATGTAATTCACACATTTGAACAAGTTATTATATTAAAATTTAAATATAATGATTAAATTAACATGACTTCTTTATTCAAAATACTTTTTCAAATTCACAATAAAGGTTGAGAGAGAGAGAGAGAGAGAGAGTGTGTGTGTGTGTCCAAATTCAGACGAAGAAAACGGTCCCGATGCCACATAAAATTTATTAATTTTAACCGTTGATAATCGATAAAAAGTGTCAAGTGCACTATTTTTACAAGTTTAAATGTTCACTTTTTTTTTTATTATTTATAATTAGATGATTTATTTGTTATTTTACAAATACTTTGAAAGTTAATATAATCTTGAAAATTTTTGCACTTTTCGTCCCTAAGTTAATTGTAGAATTTGTCTCTAAGTATAACCGTATTCACTTTTTACCCTTAAGTTATCATTGTCATTGCACTCTTCGTGCTCACTTTTGTCCCTAAATTATACTCATATTGTTAATTTCTTGCATAATGTTTTGTTAATAAAGTGACCAAAAAATTTATAAATTTATACTCACATTTTCTCTATAATATTTTATTCATGATGTAAAGATTAAGAGGTGATAAAATTCATAAATTTGAAAACCCAAAAATAAAAAATAATGTCCCCACAAGTAGTAGTGAATTTTTTGAAAAATACACTAATTTTCATGTATCATTAATGACCATTGCATACAACCATACTAGTTTTCCTCGTATAATTTAGATAATGGCAGTATTGCCCCTGATTATGTAGATGGGTGAATTGGTCAAAGTAACGCGTGAAAGCATATTTTATAGTTTTTTTTTTTTTTTTTTTTTTTTTTTTTTTTTTTTGGGTAGGGAAAGCATGTATTATATTGATTCATTGATTTGATGTTTAAAAGTTTGATGGATAAGAACGATTATAGAAATCATTACACGCGTAGAGTTTTTATGCCACTTTGTAATAAATAAATAAACAAGGACATACTTGTCCAAAACGAGTGATTAAGTAGGTGAAATATGAAATAGAGTCAATAGCATTTCAAAATAAAAATAGGTGAAAAATAATTATCATATTTTTTTCTGTCATGTTATGAGGTGTTCTGAGCATGCTTTAATTGTAGGAGGTACATTTAAGTTCGTATCATACCCAGATTAATTCCCATAATTATCGTATTAGAAAATAATGAGTTTGATTTTTACTAATATCATTATTGCAGTCGATCCTATAAGGGATATGATTTACCGAATACACACCAATAGATAATAATGATGAATTTTTTTATCATTGCAGTCATAGATTGTACAATTTTTTTTAAACATGAAAGTTTTAATTGTATATACCATACAATGAACAATAATTTATAATATGATTTTAAAAGTATGAATGTTTTAGAAATATGTTAATGTAATAATACTACGTTACGATATTTTTGTTTTTTTAAAATAAAATTTTATATTTTGTAAAAATATTAATCAATTCACTTTGCTCAATTCTTTGCGGACTGCTCGTGACCAACACCGTTTAAACTCAAGTTCCACCCATATCACGAACTTTAAATTTAAGTGTCAATTTATTAATAAGAACAGTAACACGGTCTGAGTTAGACTCCATAATCAAAATGTCATCAACATACACCAAGAAATAAAGACGAACATTATCACGAGAATAGATAAAAAGAGACACATCAGTCTTTGAAGGCGCAAAACCCACAGGCTAAAAAATCATGTAGCCTTGTGAACCATGCACGTGGAGCCTGTTTGAGACTGTAGAGAGATTTTTTAAGCGAACACACATGATCAGGTAATGATCGATCCTCATAACCAGGTGGCTGGCGTATGTAAACAGTCTCAGCTAGCTCGACATTCAAAAAAGCATTGTGAATATCCAACTGGCTAATAGACCACCCACGCGATACGGCTAAAGATAAGAGAAGACGTACCGTAGTGGGTTTAACCACATGACTAAATGTCTCGAAAAAGTCCTCTCCAGCAACCTGATTAAAACCCTTGGCCACCAATCGTACTTTATGGCGTTCTATTGAACCATCGGCCTTCCGTTTGGTTATGAAAACCCACTTGCAACCAACAACATTCATACCTGGTTGAGAAGGAACAAGACGTCATGTATGATTATGAACCAAGGCATTGAACTCTGCGTCCATTGCATCACGCCACTCAGAAAACTTGACCGCCTGATTGTAACAGGTAGGCTTAGACACCATAGTGGAAGTAGTGGTTAAGGCAACATGTTGATGCGGACCCGAGCTATGAGTGTTCATACCATGCGACCGAGGAGGCGGAGTGGATCGCCGAGGATGCCCGCGCGGTCTGCCGCGCTGCTCAACCTGCTGGTCCAAGACAGTCCGCTCACTCGATGCGGACTGCTCGTGACCAGCACCGTCACCATAGCCAGAAGCCAACACGGGCTCGTCAATCTGCCGAGTGCCATCAACAAAGGTGGCCGAGACATCATTCCTTCGGCTCGTCACAACCGGTGCGGTGGCCCACGGTTCGAACCGTGGCTTAGGAACCTGCGAGGCAATAGGAGAAACAAAAGGAAACACAGCCTCATCGAACCGCACGTGGCGACAGATAAAGACCTTGTTAGTGTTAGTATCTAAACAACGATAGCCACGATAAGACGGGGGGTAACCCAGAAAGACACACGGAGATGAACGAAATCGTAGCTTATTTCGATTATATGGACGCAAAACATGAAAGCACAAACAACCAAATACCCGCAAGTAAGAGTAGGATGAGGGAGAACGATGCAAACGAAAGTGTGGTGACTCATCAAATAAAACACGAGTGGGCATTTTATTTATAAGATAGACAGCAGTCTCAAAAGCATAGTCCAAGAAACGAGAAGGAACAGATGCTTGAGCCATTAAGGACAATCCTGTCTCAACAACATGACGATGGCTGCGCTCCACCCGTCCATTATGTTCATGAGTATATGCACAAGATTGCCTGTGACGAATACCTAGAGAAGAAATGGTGGAACCAAGCTTTTTATATTTCCCCCCTAAATCAGATTGAAAAGAAATAATCTTACGAGAAAAACAACGTTCAACAAGTGACCGAAACTTATCAAATATGCCATATAATTCAGATTTGGCACGCATCGGATAATACCATATATACCGTGTGTAATCATCCACAAACAACACAAAATATTTAAAGTCATTCGCAGAAAGTAACGGCGCAGGGCCCCAAATATCAGAATATATTAATTCTAAAGGATGTTTACTAGTAGTTTCAACACGAGATAATGGAAAACGAAATGATTTTCCCAATTGACAAGAGGAACAAACATTGGGAAGATCTTTTGAATTAAAAGTACTTACAGACGGAGACTCTAAAATTTTGCGTAAGACTCGAGAGTGCGGATGCTCCAACCACATATGCCAGACAAAAGAGGAACGCGCAGCAACGAATGCAGATGGAGCAGGAGAGGACGCAGGCCAGGAGTACAGGCAATCAGATGATTGCCCTTTAAATATGACTTTTTTGGTCAAAATGTCTTTCACAAAGAAACAAAGTGGTTGAAACTCAAAGAAAACATTATTAACTTTGGCAAAACGCTGGACAGATAATAATGAACTAGAAAGATTAGGAACATGCAAAACATCATTTAACTTAAAAGACCTAGAATCAGTGGCTAACGAAGCTGAACCAACATTAACAATAGGCAAACCTGTATCACTGTCAACACGAAAAGTCTCGGGGCCATCATAACCCGTCGCAGAGGTCAACAAAGAAGGATCAGGCGTAGCATGGTTGGTAGCACCAGTATCAGGAAACCACTCATGTGGACCACCCGAGTCATCACCAGAAACGGCTACATTCGCCTGAGGAGCCGGGGAGGGTGAAAAACACTAAGAACCCGGAGCCCCTGAATATCACCGTAAACAATTGGCTCCCGTGTGACCGAAACATTTACAAATTCAACACGGATCATCATAGCGCCAAAAACAATTGGCTCCCGTGTGACCGAAACCTTTACAAATTTGACACAGTTCATCATAGCGCCATAAACAATTAGCTCCCGTGTGACCGAAACCTTTATAAATTTGACACGGTTCCATCGTTGCCGAACAAATGTTCATTGTAATTATGGAACCACATCAACCAACAACTGTAATTAGCGACACTATTAAGCGCTAAACCCTAGCTCCATGAGAGAAAATATGGAAACTGATGCCATATGAGAATATAGATTGTGTTATATTCAATCATAACGTCTGAAAGTACGGAGAACGAATATATAAATACTAGATAGAATTCTAATCTAACACAAATAATATAATTCTAGTCTAATATAAATAACATAATCCTAGTCTAATATTGATAACATAGTCCTAATAAAAAATATTTTCCTTTTTCTTATTTTCCTCTCATAACGATCTGACCTATAAGGCCTATCTGCAAAAAAAACTACTCCGTATCTTTCATTACTTCCGCCTCCAATAGTCCAATGTACTGATACTGTTGCCCTCTCCGCGCCAAAGCCTTTCCGTTTGTTCGTTCGTCCGTCTTCTTCTTGTATTTATTTATTTAATCTTCTACCGTCATACATACATATAGAGTGAGGGAGAGAAAGAGAGATGGCGGTGGCGGCTTATGGGCAGCTGAATCTGGACGAATCGCCGGTGTGGGGGTCGCGAAGTGTGGATTGTTTCGAAAAACTGGAGCAAATCGGAGAAGGCACTTATGGGTAAGCTTCATCCCTTTGTCAATTGCTCGAAGCCGCGACCTTTTTTCCTTTTGCTTGATAATTTTGATTGTTAATCGGAGAAGGCACTTACTTTTCAATTTTATGTAAAAAGATGAAGCAACCTTAGATACATTAATCATGAATGGGAGTATGATCTATATTTGATTTTTATTTAGTCTAGTTTTCACTCTTTGGGGGTTTTACCCTCAGCGTTTAATAATCTATTTGTGGTTATTTTATAGTCAATTTGTGTACAAGGACACAAATTCTGTATGCTCCTTTTGTTGTATATTTGCCTTTTCCGGTGATCTCATTATCGTCATTGTTTTCTTGTTTGAATTTGATAGTTATTATGAAACTTCACCTTCCTTTATTTCTGCTAAAAAATCATACTTACTAGATCCTCCTCCCAACCAAATTCTTGTTGGGGGTTACTAGGATAAGAT